TTTAATTACTTAAACATTAAATTACATCACAAAAATGCCCATTTTCTTTTTGGTATATATATAAAATCCAAAATATTGTCAATCCAGTTCCTCTCATATGGTCAGATTCAGATGTCATTATTTACCAATACTATTAAACTTAATTATGACAATTATTATATTATTTGGTAAAAAGAAATATTTTAGACATTTTGTACCTATTATTTTGTCTATCTTAGAATGAGTCTGTATTTTTACATATACATTTCAAAGTTACTATTTTGTTTATTTACTCTTAACTCTCCTGACCCGAACCTTTCGGATTTGTAACTGTGTGCTCATCTCCATCTGTGTCTCTTCACACCTGGCTTTTTTATTTTATTTTACTGCTTTTCTTTGTAGCAGTTGCTTCGAAGTGTTACATAAAGTCTGTTGTTCATTCAGCTATTCAGTCACACAGTTAAAAATAGTTGTTTCTGTTCAGCCTTAATATCCCGAAAGATGCCCACCACAAAGCCTGTGAAGTCGTTAAAACCCACATGTCTCTGGATTCATGGTACATTGTGATAAGGAGGTTATGCTTGTGTGCGCGTGCGTGCGTGCGTGCGTGCGTGTGTGTGTGTTTGTGCCGCCAGGCATGACTGTGTGGATCTGACAAGCCCTCCAACTATTCACGAGCTCAACCGATTCCTGCCTCACTTCATTAGTCCAAAATATGAGGGTGCTGCTAAAATTAGTCCCCAGTGCAACGCTGACACACTTGTGCACTCACACAAAACACAAAGACCTGAAAACCTTTCCGATGCCAAGATCCTAATGTTCTTTTCCAGAGGTGGTTCTCCAGACCCGGCGGGAGCTGTAGTCCAAGCTAAGTGATCTTTTAGAGAGGAACACTCTCTGTTTTCCACACACACAGCACAGAAAACACAGCAGCATGATGTTGTGCTTTGGGGATGTCAGTGGGGGGAGGGAGATAAACTCCAGTTTTACCTCATGGAAACATTAGGTCATTAGGATATTCATGGCTCTGGAATTCATTTCTTTCTATAGACTTTAACCCTCTGCGTTTCCTCTCTCTTTTCCAGGCGCTGTGTGGCTGCACTGTTAGTATTCCCACGCTGGAAAACCGCGTCATCTCGCTCCCTTGCCACGACATCATCAAGCCAGGAACGTTGAAGCGGGTCAGGGGGGAAGGTCTGCCTTTCCCCAAGAACCCGTCGCAGCGTGGTGACCTCATCGTGGAGTTTTCTGTCCGTTTTCCTGACAGGATCCCCCCGCAGTCCCGAGAGATTATCAGACAGCACCTCCCCCAGTCGTAGGAGGACCTCTGAGCCTTCCACCGGCAAATAAAACTACCCGTCATACATCCTCATCTACTCCTCCCATATATGGTAGTGACGGTTTTAATGTCCTGTGTTGATGATGCACACAACATCTTAGACGGACAGACAAAGACTGAGAGGATCAGGATTTAATTTAGCTTTGTATGTGCTGTCTTTTGGTCCAAGCACACACACACACACACACGCACACACACACACACACACACACACACACACACACACACACACGAGTCCCCAGACAGTGAAGCGGTGCGGAGGCTGGGCTGTGCACAACTGTGGCTTCTATCCAATCTTCTTTTCTGAACTGTTTTTTACCAATTTATCAATGGTTTTGTAAGCTCTCCTCCTCTCCAATCCTTGTCTTTTTGTGAAAAGGATGAAGTTTGAGATATTTTTTTAAAAGAAATGTTTAATTAGGATTTTTTTTGTGTGTTGTTATTTTTACCTCAAGTTTACCAGCAGCTTGAGTGTTTTCAGAACATAGTCTAGTTTTAACATAACTCCACCTTGACTTGGACTCCATGCTAAAGAAACATAGATTTTAAGTCTGTAGGCTCGTTAGTGTGGTCGACCTTCCCCAAACAAGTAGACATCTGCTAGGCCAAATTTCACACGAAGTTCCACATCGCACTGCAGTTCAGACTTGGCATGGGCTGGTTTTCTGGTCTCAAGGTATTCCGAGGTTTTTAAAGGCTGCGGTTTCAAAACCCCAAAACCTTTCCGTCATACTGATTGTACTGTTTAATGTCATTTTATAGAGGTATATGAGAAAATACTGGCGTTAAAAGCAACTTTTTCTAGCTGTTTGAAGCACAGAATAAAACAGAGTTGCTGTTCCCTTGTTTGTTGCTGTGCACTGCCGGTCAGCTGCTTGAAAGTATGCTTTTTTTATTGCTAAAAAGAAAGAGACGTTCAGCTATCTGGATGCGGTTTCGGTATAATACAGAATGTCATCATATGAAAACTATAAGGGCATCATTTATTATTCTTATTAATCTGTTAGAATGTTTTAAAACTGCATCTGGTGAGCTTCAGCATGTCACAATCAACTGCTTGCAAATAGAATCAGCAGTGTAATCATGATTATGGCATCTAGAGCAGGAGTCCCCATCCCTTCTCCAACACACCTGAATCAAATAACTGAATGACCTCTTCTGCATGTCATCAAGTTCCAGAGGCCTAATAATGAGCCATTCATTTGATTCAGGTGTGTTGAATTAGGGATTCGTCTACAGGTTTTAGTACCTTGGCTCTTGATGACATTTAACACTATGGCATGCAGAATTTGGTTGCCAGACAAGCAGAGCTGCTGTGGATGTTTTTGGTCAAACAGGACGTTTCACCTGATTTTATTCCAACATAGTCTGTTTTGCCACAGAACTGACAAGAACAGCGACTCAGATAGCGGCCACAACAACATCACTTAATGTCACACTGTAAGCTGTACAGGTGCGTCATTCATGTCAGCATGCTGGATGCTTGAAAATGAAAGTGAAACTGATGACAGGACCTACTTTCCGAGTGATTCTGTTAAATGTTTTCTGACCATCACATTTTGTTCCAACATAGTCTGTTGGTCCATAAATATAAGAACAGATGGTGACATTACATACGCAGAACACTGTGATTCCACATCGTTGATCCCAAAACACATGCAATACCCAGAATGGGAAACCATTCTTACACAAATACCCTTCATTTCATCGTGTTTATATCCACATAATGCTCTTTTCAATATGAATCAGCACGAGAGCAACTATAGTTATTTGTCCTTTTAGACCTAAGATGTTACCTTTAGCCTGCTTGTCACCTGTTTTTGTCATGGCTGTGAAACCAGCTTGTGAAAAAATCCACAGCTCAGAGAAATGATCCCAAAACGTCTCATACAAATAAACCATCAACCCCTGATTAAGAAGCAGAACAACAAAAAGCGATATTTTGCATAATAAGCACAGTTACTTAAAAAAAAATACAACACTTGTCAGATCTTTATTCTACATTTTTGGTTAATTTTATGTAAGACAACCAATTTACCAATAAATAAATGAAATAAGTAACCTTTCCTATAATAACATGTACCAGCGTTTTAGAAGCATTGCGGCTAACTTTTTTTTTCTGATTCAAATGAAAACAATTAGATTACATCATGCATTTTGGTCTTAAGCTTTTCATGTAATTACCATTTGGCCCAAATTTGTCATACCATGAATATTACGCACCGGCCCATGCCTAGTTCACATTAGCCCATCTTGGTTGAATTGAAATGACAATCACAACCTGCAACTGCAGCGGGAGCTTTGATAACAACAAAGGGTGCTTTCCTTCACGCCGAGCTGCTCATCGCCGATTAGCTGGCTCACTTTCTAAGGGACATACAGGTGCCTTAGCCCAGTGTCAAACCAGTAACACAGGCCACACTGTAATTTATACAAAAAGCCATGAGTGCACAACAGATGATGCCCTATGCTGTGTTAGACTTTACCATCTGGAGGTGGTAAAACTGTAAGTAAGCAATGTAAAGTTTATAAAGTACTGTAAGTAAGCCAAAATGTTTTTAGGGAGCAATTTGATATGAGACTGAGGATTTTTTTGTAAGTAATTTAAAGCAAAGTGCCAAACAAGTAGAGGTGGGATTTTCCCCGAGGGACTAAATGGCGGTTAGTCTGACAGCCCCCTGCTTTGTATTATAACTTTGTTCTCTTGTGGCTTTTGAAGGCCATGTCTTGGTGCTAAAGTGAGCAGTGCCACCAATAAACCACACTGCTTTGTGATTTGATAAGGCTTCTGTGTTTTATACGTGTACAGCTAGTAGAACACCCTGTTTTAGGAACCAGGCCTTGAAGCAGATGATCTCTTTCTCAACAGCAGGGGGCGCTGAAACCCCTTTGAGCTCCTCCTCATTTTGTATTTTACATCAGTGATGTAAAAGACGCAGAGATGTTTATATGAGCATGAGTTATGCAGGACGTTCATGTTGGTCTTACATATATATATAAATAAAATGTTTTCTTCCTGGGATGTTTAAATGCATTAAAAATGCACTTTTATATTGTAAAAATATTGCGGAAGCAGTTATAGGATGGGAGAGACGTGAATGTCTGATTGTGCGATTGTTTGTACCGCCTCTTAAACCCTCAGAGGACACTAAAGTGTGGCTGCAACCAGAGTGTACATGTACCGCTGCTGAAAGACTCGCCGTCACTGCTTGTCTGCATTTGACAATATGGTATTTATTAACTTTTAATAATGTAACAAATAAACCAAATGTGTGAAGCTAAGCTTGTGTCATTGTTTTTTATTCTAGCTCAGGCTAACACTGAATTGGATGATTATGTGATGTAACCATAACAGTGTAATATTGGGGAGTTTTGACATGGCTCAATAAACGGGGTAGGATGTTTTCTTCTAAGCACAAAACACAGAATCAAAACTTTACGAATGAGGGACAAGGCTGCCAAAAGATACCCCGACTTTACATCAACAACTAATCCAACAAGCTCAGAACAACATCTACAGCACTGCAGACCTTGTTTTCCCCAGTAAAGGTCAGAGTTCATGATTCAACAGTATGAAGGAAACTGAACAAAAATGGCATCCATAAAATCAGTTTATCGAAAATTTTGAGCTGTGACAAAAAAAAAAAAAAAAAGTGTCACTCCTCACAGGAAGATACATTTCTATACTGGATATTTCTAGCAGAAACTGGTTCCAGAAACAAACATACAAATACATCAATCTGCTATCAATACAACAAACAGAGCCAAGACAGCTTTTTTTATCCACTCTGCGTGTCTCTGGTATCTCTGAGCAAAGTGGAGTTTGGACATTTTCCATCAGTGATAGGTAAACACACACTTTGACCTCAACTTGACAAAAATTCACTCGGACGCAAGAGCCTCATTGGACCCTTTTGGAGCGATCTCAGGTGGGAACAGAAAAGGTCAATACTTTAATTACTGGGACAGTTTTAGTGGATTACACTCTGGTCTGCAGCCAGATCACGAGGCGGTCAGGCCCACTTCTTCGTGCAAGACAGAAAAAAAAATCACGTGAAACTGGAGTTGTGGTTAATGAACAAATTGTGTGCAGCACATGGTAGGTAAGGATGTTGCCGATGATTACTCAGCCTGGAGGTCAGCTGCAGCTACATTGCGCTGTGACTAATGGCGTATAGCTGTGTCAGCTATTTCTAGTGGTAAGGTTGGGTTAGCAGAGGGTTTATGAATCCTCTGAGAAGATCTACTTTGAGGGTAGAGCGAGCTCGAAACAGTAAGTGGGGTCAGTAAATATTTAGTTTGCCCTGCATGTGAAACGGCATCTGCTCTGTCATAAGTTTCTGTATTATGTGAAATCCACTGAAACGTCATACAACACCGCTGCAGGGCAGAGTTAATGAATCCAGATGATAATCAGTAACAGAGTATTAACACAGTCATCATGACCGGATAATCACTGCGCCCACTTCCACAGGAGTTAAGAGGAGCCCTCACGCACTCGCTTGTCCTCCGTTTGGGTCGTGAAACATGAGCACTTTTGTGACCCTCTCGTCGGGGCAGAGGATGCCTCTGGTTGGGCTCGGCACGTGGAAGAGCGCTCCAGGTCAGGTAGAGCAATGCATAATCACCCAGATTTAACAGACTAAGCCAAAAGATGGTCTTGGATGTTGCTTGAGTGCTACTATGTACTCGCCAGGTGAAGCAGGCAGTGCTGGCAGCTTTAGACGGTGGCTACAGACATATCGACTGTGCCGCCGTGTACGGCAACGAACAGGAGGTTGGAGATGCTTTGGCTCTTCGGGTGGGTCCAGGGAAGGTGAGGAGCTGTGATTTCTTCTTCCAGCAGTTGAATAAACTGCCTTGTCAGTTTATTCAGCTGCTATGACTCACTGAATCACTTGTCTAAGTGGAATTGGGTTCGTTTTTTTCTCTCAGAGTGAAACAAGTTTAAGACGTTGCATCTCAGTCTAAAAGGTTTCCTAAACTCAGCTTGGCCTGTGGTTCTAAAAACTACCTCATAACAGATAAGACAATTTTGAAAATGTTCTGTTTAAAAAAAAAAAAAAATGTTTTTTACATTCAAATTAAATAATCCGTTGGCATCAAACTACTGTCATTTAAATACAGCAAAATAAATAACTGAGATTATGCAGTATCAATTGAAATCAGATGTTTTCTTACAAAGTTTAAAAACAAACATGGCCAATTTCTTCCCACCGTCCGACATTAAATGATTTCCCATTTTGGTCCAGATAGGATTGTCCAAGTTACTTTAGTGTGATGATTCTATGTTATACGAGTCTCACTTTCTGAAACAAGTGGCATAAAATGTTGAGCTTATTTCATTTTATTTAAAAGTTTGAGTGATGTCAGTCATGTTGCATTGACTGGCATCCAAAGTCCAAAGAGCAAAACTGAAATGTACAATTGTATATTTTGGAAAAGTGAGCACAATTAAAAACAGTCCAATGACTGGCAACAACGTTCATCAGAGCTTTGACGTTTCGAAGCTAGTAATTACTCAATCAATTTTTGTCCTGAAATGTTTGAGAACCACTAGCTTAGCTTATAAAACCAATCACATGTTTCGCCAGAAGTCTAACTTGCCCTCTTGACCCCCAGGCTCTGAGGCGTGACGAGGTGTTTGTGACTTCCAAACTGTGGAACACCAAACATGATCCCAAGGATGTGGAAGAGGCATGCAGGTCCAGTCTGACCCACCTGGGTCTCTCCTACCTGGATCTCTACCTCATGCACTGGCCCATGGCCTTTAAGTGAGTAGCAGCTCATTCTGCAAAGCGTTGCTTCTTCCTCCAGTGCATATTACGTGCCCTAGAGTCAGTGTTGAGGTGAAAACCATTCATTCCTATGCCAAAACAAAATGTGGATGTTTCAGGAGAGGGAAGGAGTTAATGCCTCGACGAGACGATGGGAGTATTTGTTACTCTGACACTCACTACAGAGATACTTGGAAGGCCATGGAGAACCTTGTAGATAAAGGCCTGGTTAAGGCTATCGGGCTGTCTAACTTCAACGCAAGGCAGATTGATGACATCATCGCCATTGCCAGGCACAAACCTGTGGTGAACCAGGTAAGGCTGTTCAAACAGAACATATAGCAAACTAAAAATCCAGGGCTAACCCAAAGAAAGCAAACTAATCTGTTACCCTGGAAAGACCCCAACTTTTTTTTTTTTTTTTAACTTTTTTTATAATATAAATCTCAAAACTTTAAATTCTGTCATCACTTTTGTCAGGAATGATTCAAATTTAAAATCACTTCAAAGGTTGTTTAAAAAAGTAAATTAAAAAAAATCTTATTTATGCTTAATGTGAAATCTTTCCAATGCAACAATTCGGTCATTAATTAGTTTAACCATTTCTGTCTGGGCTGGGGTCACAGTTCATGCACACCATTAAATACTGCTGGCGTGAAGAATGTAAGAGCAAAGCAGAACATTTCAGAAACACAGTATTACTGTTGACTTACTGGTAAACCACATCAAATTCAGAACACGACCACTTGATCAGTTTAATGAGATATTATTTTGGTGTTTTCTTGGAAATGGGTTCCCAAAACAAAAATCTGCTTGAGGCCCCATGAAATCTTAGACCGGCTCTGTGCAACTTAATATTTTCATGTCAGTTTGAATAAACTACATCTCCTGTCTTTTTCTGCAGGTGGAGTGCCACCCTTATCTGTCTCAAGCAGACCTCCTGTCACACTGTCGGTCAGTTAAATACACTTTAGGTAAGGGGCATTCAGAGCAGCTGAAATCATGCTCTCACTTCTGTTGCAGGTCATTGGCGGTCTGTGTGACAGCCTACAGTCCTCTGGGCAGCGGAGACAGACCCTGGGCTTCTCCTGAGGAGCCTAGTCTGCTGGCAGATCCGCGACTTGGCGCCATCGCCGAGAGGTACCAGAAATCTCCTGCTCAGGTGATACTCAGGTAAGGCAGGACACCTCAAAGTATCGCTTTTCTCAACACAGCTAACAGTCCTCTAATGTTACTGTGGGCAACGTGACTGTATCGCCCGACTCTGCAGGTGGAACGTCCAGAGGGGGGTGGTGTGTATCCCCAAAAGTGTGACGGCCTCCAGGATCCAGGAGAATTTAAGGGTGTTTGATTTTTCCTTGTCTCCAGAAGACATGAGACTAATCGACTCCTTTAACCGCAACACACGTTTTATTATCCCGACAGTGGAGGTGAGACATTACTGCTAGAAATCCAGAAATAAATCCTAATGACATGGTTACGACTCTCCATGCAGGACTGAAGTAGCAGATGTATTAAAAAAAAAAAAAAAAAAAACCTGAGAATATATTTATTTGTGTTTCTACAGAAGGATGGCAAGAAAGTGTGGAGGGATGGAGAACATCCTCACTTTCCCTTCCATGATCCGTACTGAGCCTTCAAGAAACGCATTAAAGGCGATTCTCAAATAGATGACATGGAAAAATAAATTAAACTGAACCTCAATCAGAATTGGTGTCGTCCATTTCTTCCCCTGTGACGCGTTCACAAAATTTATTGAAAACATGTTTAGTTTGATGTTCATAAAACAAAACAAAAAAAGTTATGCTGAGAGCGACACTATGTGGCCAAAGACAGAACTGCCTCAGTTATTTAAAGACTCACACGATCCAACTCGGTTTCATTACTCAGTGATAGAGATCTAGTTCTAGATCATTCCTATACCTTTTTGGTTATAACTTCCAGTGAATTAAATTCCCCCAAAAACGTTGAATATCACATTAAAACCAAGGAATGTTAGCACCAAAATGTAAACCTACAAAAATATGTCCATGCCCTCCACAGTATTGGTTGGTTCTCCTTTCACGTGAATTATTGCATCAGTGGCAAGTAGCATGGAGATGATTAGCCTGATGTTCTGCGGCGTTAGAAAAGTTCAACTTGCATCACGAACGGCCTCCTGTTACACCATATTGAAAGTAAGGAGGAACCAAGTTCTGCTGGAATATTAACTCAGGGTCTCTAAAGCAGAGCTGAGCTTTTTTTAAGCTCAACTCCAAAGTTCCCGATGGATGACTGTGCCGATTGTGTACTTGTTAAAACAAAGAGAGCAAAAAATAGCAAAGGACATGGAACCCTAACAGAAATTGCAATACAATCTTAGCCAAGCCTAATCTAAACAAACAACAGAGACCTTAGTAACGCCTCCATTTAGTGAGATTTTATTTGCAACAACATAACCTTGACAAATTTGTAATACATTATATGCTACTGTTTATTTAAAAAAAAGAAGAAAAAAAAGTCATCAATGTTTTTCATTCAGAGTCTAGCAGAAATCCCCATCACTATAGCCATTCCTGTATTTTTTTTTAGATATACTGACAATGAAGCCACTGAAAAAAAAAAAAAAAAAAAAAAAAAAAAAATGCCAACCCCGCCTTCTCTGACCCTGTTTGCAGTCACTCACCTTCCATTTTCGTCATCCCAGTCCCCCACCCACATCAAAGTCAGGGCAAACCAAGTGGATACATGCTGTCTCCAAGAGAAATTATACAAAATAAAGACAAAAAAAGAAAAAAAAAAAGAAAAAAAAGAAAGGGAACACATGAAAGAAGCACAAAGTCCTAAAAATGTGGAATCTGGTGAGAATTTGTACAGGTGTGATCCCAGGACCAACCACTGTGGGGCAGTAGGCATTTATCCATAAAGATCATCGTCATTATCTTCGTTGAACACTGGACCACTACCAGTTCCACCAGAGCTGTGACTTGGACCGCTGCCTCCTGCAGCGCTGGAGGGAAACCTGGGAGGGAGGAGAAGAAGAAAGATGTTCAGCTCCAGGATCAAATCATTTCAAATAAACTGAGTCAGAACGTAAACTGATTGGGATTGTACTCCTAATAAAACAGAATTTAAAGATGTAGCAATTTGTTGATTAAGGATATCTTTTGTAATGATAGCTGTGGTTGCCAGATAATGTGCTAATTACTCATCAATCTCTTTATGCCCTACAATAAGAACAAATCTCCTAAGAGGCATAAATAAGTAAAACCCATCAGAAAGCGTACCTGAAGCTGCCAAAGCCTCGGCTCTGCTGCAGTGTCTGAGCAAACATCTCGTATTTGCGGATGTCGTTGTCGCTGACAGAGCGACGGGCAAACCGCATCGCTTCTTCAAAGTGGTCCTTCCTGATCTCTGGCACGGGGTCGTCCTCTTCTACCTCCTACAAGGACAGAGATGGATGAGTTCATGAAGCGTTCAGGAGCAGCAGGGAGCAGACGCTCCGCCTCACAGAGCACTGACCATGGCCGATGGGTTCGTCTGCCTCTCCCGTTCTCTGCGGATCTCGTTCTCGATGCTCTCTCGGATGGCGAGCTTACAGGCCCGCTGGCAGATCTCTGTGAGATCAGCGCCGGAGAAGCCGTTGGTCATCTTAGCCAAGAAGTCCAAGTCCACATCCTTCAGGGAAAAAATGAAAATAACAAAAACCGTTTAATATCTCGTTTTGGGTCTGATTTCACACAGAAAGCCTTAAAAGAAAAAAGTCTCTTCTAAACACATAAAAGTTAAAGTTCGCTGTGTATTGATCATTTAATGTGCATCGATTCTGATGACGACACCCCACAAAATGTAATGCTTGTTACTGGCTTCTCTATCGGTAATGTTTATGACTACGTTTTTATGATGTAAAGCACTTTGAACTGCCTTGTTACTGGAATGTGCTATACAAATAAACTTGACTGAAAGTTATTTAAGAGGAATTTACTAGAATACAATGCAGCATCATTACACTCAACTCAACCATGCAAGTAAATGGACCATAAACGATGGCAGACGGCGCAGTCACCTTGCTGATGGGACTCTTGCGCAGGTTGGCCTTCAGGATGCTGATCCTGCTCTTCTCGTCTGGCAGGGGGATGTAGATGAGCTGATCCAGACGGCCAGGTCTCAGGATGGCCGGGTCGATGATGTCTGGTCTGTTGGTGGCGCCGATGATGAAGACGTTCTTCTTGCTCGACATGCCGTCCATCTCGGTCAGGATCTGGTTGATCACACGGTCCGCAGCTCCGCCGCCGTCGCCAACGTTGCCGCCGCGAGCCTTAGCTATGGAGTCCAACTCGTCGAAGAAGAGGACACACGGAGCAGCCTGACGAGCCTGAAGACACAAGGACAACGGTTTTAAGAAGCAAGTCGCTGGCAGAGTTTATTTTATATTTGAAAATTCTGTATGTACTCCTACTCAAATTTAATATACCGGATATACTTGGGGACACTGAGAACATGAATACGTCATTTGCATGTTGTATGACTCATAAAACACCACGTTAGCGCCGGTTTCTGATGGTGAAGGGAACCAGAACATGTTTTATGACAAAGTCTGCTTCTCTTGAAAATTGTCGACACCTCATTTTGTCAAATCTAAACAAAATGATCCAAAACTAAAAATAAAGTTTAGAACAAAGCTAAGCATTTCATTAACTTAATCAACTTGTGAAAGTTAATAAATAAAGAGTTCTACGAGTTGGTAACAAAACAGGCCCAGTTGAAAAAATGTATTAAAAATCATGATGCTGTCAAAGCTGTGAAATGTTTAAAGTTCATCTGCAGATTCTCTCATCCATCTGAACAACTATTCCCCTGCAAACATCCACATTGCGTTTCAGAGCCATTTGTTTTCTGCCCAAGTAACCATCTTCTATAAACAAAATAATTACATTTAACAAAATATCCAATTAAGATGTGAATTAAATATGTCAACATGAGAAGCGCTACATTTGTTATATATGGAAAAAAAAGTCTAATACAACCTTAATTTATACTCAGTTTTCTTTTTTATGCATTTATTTTGACATGGAATCTGACTTTAAAGACCGTTCCTCTGAAGTCTTAGATTTAAATTGTCTGACCTGGGGGGAAAAACAACTTACCTTGTCGAAGATCTCTCTGACATTAGCCTCAGATTCTCCAAACCACATGGTGAGCAGTTCAGGTCCTTTGATGGAGATGAAGTTTGCCTGGCACTCATTGGCAATGGCTTTGGCCAGCAGAGTCTTACCACAACCAGGAGGACCGTAGAAAAGCACACCCTTGGATGGGGTCATGCCAAACTTCAGGAACTTGTCTGGATGCTCCACAGGGTACTGAATTGTGCACAGAGAGACAACAGTGTTACAGTAAGAAAATACCAAGTTTGAAAAGAGTAAAGAACCCCTTTCTGGCATAATCTCTCTCATACCTGCACCAGCTCCTGCAGCTCTCTCTTGACATCTTCCAGACCTCCAATATCGTCCCAGGTGATATTGGGAACCTCAACAACCGTCTCCCTCAGAGCTGATGGGTTGCTCTGGCTCAGAGCCCACTGCAACACAGTGTTGACCGAGTTAGTATCGACAAAGACGGCCATTACTGGCCAACTGAGGCACCTAAGCTCCATTTGAAGAGATCAGATTACAGGTTTACCTTGAAGTCGTCCATGGTAACGGCAAGAGAATTCATGACTTCAGCATCAATAGTCTCGTCCTCCAGGTCGATCAGGTCCATCTTCTTCCTAATGGCCTGCAGGGCAGCCTCGGAGCAGAGAGCCGCCAGATCCGCACCGACGTGGCCGTGGGTCTCATTGGCCACCTGCAAACAAAAGCATCAATATTCCCAGTAAGGGCGCTGTGCTTGTGGTTCAAAAGGTCGCCACAGTTAAGACAATATTTAAAATTCAGCAATTTCAGCAAAAGCAAATATTTCTGACATTTTTGAATATGCAGTCGTATCTACTAAAACTGAGAACAAGAAGTTATGAGGCTAATTTTTCAGATCAAAAGTAAATGCGTTCTAGCTCCTAAAAACAGATTTTTCAAAACTGGAAATTGCGTATTAGGAGTTCTTTTAGAGCCATCCACATATGTAAATATTCTCTCATTTAAAACAAGCAAAATGTTGTTTTGCTTATTTTAAAACATTTTAAACTAGCATGTTTAAATGTCTACTTTGAAATATTTTCCTATCCAAGAAATATTATGTGGTTTCCTGGGATGTGATTTGCCATTTCACAGTGGGGTTTTAGGCAGAAGAATTGAAAATGGCATATTTGCCAGTTTTAATTTGTGACAAGAAAAATAAAGCTAACATTTCTGCAACATGTAGCTTGATTTGTTTCTGATGCATTTCAATTGTAAAGCAAATAAAATATGTAGGGGAAATTTAAATGTGACATACCAAAGTATGCTTAGACCAACTGTCCATATGCATCAAGTTTATTTAAGCCAGTTTATTGGAACAAAAAGTTAGGATATAAATGACAGAATGGCACTTATGGTGTAGTTATCTAAGAAAATAAAAAAACAAAAAAAAAACAAATAAACATAAAAGGCACCTCTCTGTTACTCATATCACCTGATGGGAGTAATGTGCACAAACCTGTTCCAAGTCAACATCGTCGGCTAGTTTCATGTTCTTGGTGTGAATCTGCAGAATCTCCAACCTGCCGGTCGCATCAGGAATGCCAATGTCCACTTCTCTGTCAAAGCGTCCTGGAAGTGGAGGAAGGTGCAAAGCGCTCAGTGGTTTTAAAATAATAACATTTGAGATGCATGTCAACGTAATTCAAAACCCTTTTCTCAGATGAACTAGTAGAAGATGTGCATTTGAAACTCAGCAAAATCCATATCCCGCTCTCCATAAAGCCTGTCATAAACATTAAGTCACATGCTAAAAATGCAGAACTAGAGGGATAGAGATGGGCGAGACTGACGGAGCGTGCTCTGATCTCCAGAGCTAACAAAACTAAATGCCTGTGCTGTTATGCAGTATTTTGTTTTGCAGGAAAACCCCTATCTTTTTTTACTAAAATGAAACTGAAACTTAGTCCAAAGGGACAATAATCTGTATAATAATGCCCACAGTCCATCTTAAAACCGTCAATATATAACTGTCAGGTAGTAAGATGACCATTTTGATGTGGCAATTATTTAAACAGAGTCCATGTTCATTATAGAGAAAATATACACAAGCAACCAGGATACACAGAACAGCATTTGCCATAGGATTTAAGGGGAAACGAGTACTTGCTACACCAGCTGTAATCACTACAAACCAACAGAAGCACAGCTTAAAAAAAAAAAACCCTCAAATTAACTCGCATATCTACATGGGGAAAAAAAAAAAAAAAAAAAAAAAAAAAAAAAAACACAAACGATTTACCAAATCTCCTGAGAGCTGGATCAATGCTGTTGGGTCTGTTGGTGGCTGCCATGACGATCACATGAGCTCTCTGTTTCAGGCCGTCCATAAGAGTCAGCAGCTGGGAAACTATGCGCCTCTCCACCTCTCCATGAGTCTGGACAACAAACACAAAACACACAATGCTGGAATGTTGAAACAGATTTTACAGTAGCAGCGAAATATAGCCATGTATAATGAACAAGAATGTTCTACGGATTAATCACTGTGCACTTTCAGTCTATTGCAAGCTCTAAAAAGGTTTTGAAATCTATTAGGCAGGCCTTGCAGCACTTTGCACTCACCTTCTCTCTCTTTGGAGCAATTGCATCAAGTTCATCAATAAAGATGATGGCAGGAGCATTCTTCTCTGCTTCCTCAAAGGCCTTTCTCAGGTTACTCTCACTCTCTCCAGCCAGCTTACTCATGATCTCAGGGCCTGAAAGCATGAAATCAAGGCTCCATTTTAGAGGCAGCATTTCTACTATATACAAGCAGCTTTCAAAACAGAAATGTTGCCAAGTGTACACACCGTTGATTAGGAAAAAGAAAGCTCCTGTTTCGTTGGCCACAGCCCTGGCAATCAAGGTTTTTCCAGTTCCAGGTGGTCCATATAGCAGAATGCCACGTGGGGGCTGGAAGGGCAGAAACATTTGAAGACTACATCTTTCTCAAAATCTAACTTCATTCCAAGAATAAATTAATTGAATACATTTCACTAAACTCAAGTCTCCTAGTGATATAAAGGTTTAAGAGGCTTTTTTGAAAGCTCAAATAAACTCTAATCAATCTGTCGCATGTTTGAATTCCAGTTTGCAGTTATAATAAAAAAGGTCAAGTTTTGCTCCATATTTGAATAAGAAAAAATAAATAAATAAACCAAGTGCGTGCCTGACCTTGACTCCAATGGCCTTGAACAGTGCAGGATGTCTGAGAGGCAGCTCCACCATCTCTTTGATCTGAGCCAACTGCTTCCTAACTCCTCCAATGTCATCATAGCCCACTTCATTCAGGGACTCCTCCTCATCCTACAGGTGGAAGACTCAACATTTTAGTTTCCACGTCATTTATAAGAAATTAAAACGTATGGACGAGTGTGTTCGTACCTCTCTCCTGATCGGCTCACCCTCGCAGTGAATGACTGTGTCGGGAGCAACTATGCAGTAGGGGGATGGATCGGTCTCCACTACCTTGAACTCCACGGCTCTCATGCCACCTCTGACCAGGAAAATATCACCTTTACAAGTCAAAGGAGGGGTGGGGGGAATAAGTTACATGTCGACTTGTATCTGTACAAGTTAAAAGCAACAACGGGGTGTGGAAGTCACCTTTGCGGATCGGTCTGTAAGCCTCCAGAAAGTATGGCTTCAGGTAGACTTCAAACAGGTTGCCAGTGATTCCCTCCACGGTGTCGTCTATAGGGAGGACATGAATCCTCTTTCCGTACTTCACATCAGGACAAGGCTGAATGCTGAGGAAGACATTATACTTAGCATGGCTTAACACTCACACATGTATGTAGGTGAAAGTTGGACAAGAATCTGCTTTCCCTCACCTGATGACGTCACCAAGACGGACCCTCAGGTTGTTGCGGACCACCCTGTTCATCCGGACCTTCTCGTCGGAGCAGGTGTCATCTGAGAGCACGATGCACACCGTCTCCCGCCTCTTCTTCCCCTTCATCAGAACTGTGTCGCCACGGAAGAGCTGCAGTTCGTCCATCTTGGCCTAAGACACAAAACATTGAATTGATGAAGTGCTCACATTTTTCTGAATCTCACCATATCGGGATCGGACTTTGTTTCTCCAGCTGTGGAGTGGGCGGAAAGCCTCTCAATGATTACCTGAGAAAGAGAGACCACGCTGTTGTCTTCATTGATGGATTCATCAACAATCAGTCTGTTGGGTCTGCTCTTTTGCTTCAGAATAGCAGTTTGTAGGTCATCATTTTTGGATCTACAGAGGAGAAACGGAGGAAAGGGTCAAACTAAAGAATCTTACTCCTCAGCATAACGGCCTTTTTAAATAAATAACAAAATACTCAGATGTTTATGCAGAAAATAAAATTTTCACTTAAAGTCAATGGCAACAACATGGTAATTTTTTTTTCCGTTTTCATACAGAATACCTCCAGAGTGAAAACATGGCGATTTGCAAAGCCTAGTGCCATATTTGGTTGGCTCAAGGTCGAATCAGTTTTTTGTCTGTTCATCCCAACCTAATTCCATTTTGTTCCAGTAAATAAAAACCATTCAGATTACATCTATAATAATATTGTACAAAGGACTGTTAATCATTGTGTTCTGGCATTTTTGATGAAGATTGAACATCAATCCAGACAAAATCTTCAAATTCAATCCATCCAGCCATTTTCTGCCGCTTATCCGGGGTCGGGTCGAGGGGGCAGCAGCTTCAGAAGGGAGGCCCAGACTTCCCTTTCCCCAGCCAATTTAAAATCAACTGTGCCTTATTTTCTGCAAACGATAACACTGATTAGGGTTCTGATTAGGGGTGGGCATTTATTTTATTGTGTATTGTTTGGGATGTAAAAATTTTGATTTATAATTGTCATGATAAATTCTAATTAATATTTGTACTATTTGTTCAAAGACAGTATCATATATCAAAGTTGAAAATATTAATTAAATCAAGTTAATAAATCAGTAACTTGATTTAATAGTTATGTTTTTCAAGAGCAACACAGCCATGCAGTTATATAAAATAGAAGTAAGTAGTTCTTAGCATTTTATTGTTATATTTTGTGAAACCATTGTTATAACAATGTAAATCCAAATGCTCCACCCCTAGTTCTAATCACATCTGGGCTCAATGACTGGTATGAAACATCCCCAAATGGATGCAAATTAAAGCATTGTGTGTACCAAAATCTTCATGGTATACGACTTCTTTTGGGTCCTGGCCATTTCGTATTCAAACGTTTTTACCTGGTAGAAAATCGTGCAATGTATCTCACCGATCATGTACAACTGCCAAAGGGATGTTTCATACTGATTTTGACAATTAAAATCTATTTCTTACAATATACATTGAGGACATTGTGTTATTTTGTTTGATATTTAGTCATAAACTTCCAGATCTTAGGGAAGTCAACTTCCAAAAAGGAATTAGAATCAAACTAAATAGGAAGACAATGTAAAACTGTTTAGAATAAAATACAATTCCTTTGTGTCATTGAAGCATTTTTATGACAAAACAAATGATTAATAAAAATACTAAAAAAAAAATTAAAAAAATTCACATGGAGTTGTTTCAGTAATTAAAAAGGTCAATAGGAAAAGAAATATTGACCAGGAGTCCTTCGTTTGTACCCAAAAGTCTGGTACAAAGCCAAGACAGCAAAATGGTGAGAGGACCAGCACATTACGTCTCCAAATACAATGCCTTTTAAATGTAGTTTTTGGTTTAAATTCTTTAAAGTGGTACAGATTTTGTTTTATTTTGGCCAGCTTATTTATTCAGCATTACCCACAATAAATCTGAGCTGGAATCTCAAACCACTTTATAAAAAGATCCAGCTCTACCCAATCCAATTTCAGTTCAAATTCCACTCAGAGCAATTTAACTTATAAAATACTACTAATAAATCATACTCTATTCTAATTACATGCAGAGCAACCTGAGCCTGTTGATTATACAATGCCAACTTGGTAAGAAATGTGTTATAATTGAGATGTTTTTCCTTTTTAAACAAATGCCTGGTTTCAGTTTTACCTCATTGTCCAAATATATAAAAGGGACGCATAAGAAGGATGTTAATTTGCCTCTGAGAAACTGTTTACATTTCTGTAAATAGTCTACTAAAGCTATGTGGTCCACGTTGTATTGATACGAGCAAACAGGTCATTTGCACAACATCCCAACAACCACCATATTACGTTACGCACAAAAAATTCAATAATACTTTTCTACAGTCATAAGACCACACAAAGCTAAATTAAAAATGTCGCCATTTTCTAGAAACTTCGCGGAATATTTTGGTAGTTTCCTTTTTACGTTGACAGCATGCTAACGTAGCCTGGAGCTAACCGGCTGGTGAGCAGGGGAACGCAGATGACACAGCAAAAGAATCTGAGGAAAAAAACTTTGTTAGCAAGCTCGGTCCTTTTAAGAAATCCCATTAAAATTACATTGCGACTGGTCAAATCTCAATTTAACCTTGTGTATGCTGTAATCAGATAGCTAATTTCAAGAGTTTTATTCTAACTGAATAGATCCATAAAGGCTTGCCGATCGCCTAAATTGAATTAGCCTGCGTTGGTGCACCGTTTAGCATAGCAGTTCGTCGCAACATTATTAACCGTTTGGTCCCGTAGAATTGTTAGCTTGTCGGGTAAACTTTTGACAAGCTGGACAGCTGAAATATAATGTTTTCACTTTTTAATACGAACTGTAAATAATGAGTAACCAGGACCGGTGAATAGGCCAGTTTTCAATGTGATCGTGGATGGCTTTGGCCTTGACAGTGCTAAGCTAAAGTTAGCATTCGAGTAGCGATGACTGCGCTTTGTGAAGTCATACAACTGAGCTAGTGAATACCGTTAACCGACCAGGAAGAAGCGTGCGTGGTGACAACAGTTTAATAACAAATAAAGAAGCCAACATACAACTGGTAGTAAGTGTTTAAAATACGGAAAATACTGCGGAGGATGAAGTAACTGACCTCATTAGCTCTCATGCTAGCAAATTCGTCATGTATTAGCATTCTGAACGTTAGACCTTTAAAGGGTAATAGTTAGCTGCCACTGCAACAAAAAGACGCTTTTGAGCAAATCTGTAGATTGTATATACTTACTCCCCTCCCGAAGCCATGGTCGTCCACCTGGTTTACTGGTAATAAATATAGAAATTCTAGCTAAATGTTAAATGAGCTGAACCGGTTTCGCTACTAGACGTTCCCTGTGCATTCACACGAAAGAGCAGCAGTTTCCTTTGCCTTCTTTACGGTTATACCATGAGTTACACACAACCTGCTTTCTGATTGGCTGGAACCACTCCGTCAAATTCGGGAACCAATCAGACGTGTAGAGGCTATCGTCACCAAGGGTACTTCTGAAGTTTAGCCAGTTACAAAGAAGAGAGAGGAGGTCGTTAAGTTTATTTTCTATTGGCCTATTATCAAACCCCACACATCCAATTAACGCTCACCGCGTTGATATAAATCCTGTAAGTTTGTGTTATTCCTCATAGTAACAGTGGTGTTACCTCAGGCCCGACTTTAAAATTATTTGACTGTAAGGAACTGACTTTTTTCCTGAAAATATTTAGAAATTAAGCCTGACTTTTCGTTTCAAAATAATTCTTTTAAAACAATACAATTTACTGCACTTCTACGGAGCAAATTGTGATACCAATTTCTTCCCTAAGGCAGAAAACACACTTTGAAAGAGAGAGAAAAAACAAGGCTTTCTGAAATTAAAATTAGACAGTTGACCATTGATTGATAAACATGTCATTTCCAGTTCCAACTTTGAAGGTTAAGGAGATGTCAGCTCATCTGAACTTATTCCAGCTTCACTGTCCTCCACCACGGTTTGTATAATTTTACAATTTTTAGACATTAGAACTCTGACTTTTCAGTGGCTAGTGTACATCATACCAGGAATAAATAGTTTTATCCAGTCACATTAGGTATTGAAAGATATAGCAACACAGAACATTATGCCAGTTGATCCTTATGAGTATTGTGAATCAACCAAATCCAGAACAATGTCAAACCTTTTGCCAGTGTACATAGCTCCTGCTTTGTTTGATTTAGGTGTGCCAGGGCAGGTAAGCATCTAAAGGTTGCAGGGTGGTTGCTCAGAAAAGCAAATTCTGCAGCTGCAGACTAACTGATAGTAACATACTTACAGAGAAATGTGCACACACAGATCACATGATGGGTTTTCATAAATATAGTTTCTTTATTTCATTCTCTCCACATAATTTTCTTGCTACCATTTGACTGTTATTGCACAGGCCGCCCCAAATGTTCATTAAGTGATTAGGTTTACTTTTTTATCCTCTAAGCTGACTAGGTAGGACCAAGTTCTTGTAGTTTTTGGCGCAGCTCTGCAGAATCCAGCAACGGTCCAGACTGAAGTTCTTGTGCATACACAGGAAGAGCCCTGCAAGAGAATTGAGGTTCCCACCATAAGACAAAACAAAGTAAACAGGTTATATAATTAGGTTTTCCCTATCTCTAGATGTTCTTAAATCTGTGTTTTTCAATCAGATCTAAATAATTCAAATTATACAATTTCTAATTTCTTTTTCACTTCTTCCTTTTAAAGTCCCAAACTCCAATCTAACAGATTGTTACTGGTTGATATGAATTTCAGTAAAAAGGAAAAGCCTGTATATAGAGCAGAGTATAAAGTATCTCACTCTGATAAGGATGGGATGGGATTGCTCCAGGTCTGTTCCCAACAAGCAGCCGCCTCCTGCTTCCTGTCCAGCCTCCACAACACCTCCCCATACCACCGCCTGGCACTCACACCCTCTGAAACCGAAAGGATTGGACGATCATGTGATTGAAAACAGGACAATGTAATACAAGTACCCACACAGTGGTTTTAAATAACATATTTCCTTCTATTTCAACACAATACACAATCACAAAAATACACAATCTGACATGTTCACCGCTAGAGAGCAGCCCACTTTCCCTTTACAAAGCCTGCAAGTGGGCTGAGTATTTCCACAGACATTTGATCTGTATTTTGTGGTTTCTTGTTTATAGGCACAGGTTATTTTTGCGTCTGTATTCTCACATCCTCTGTGCAACAAGCTTTTACGATTACTTTTTTGCAATAAACAAAAACATTGCTAAAAATCAACGAAAGTTAAATGGCATCCATTAATGTTTACAGCATTGTTTTAGATTATTGGGGCAGTTGAAGTTTATATATAATTAAACAAATTAAAATGGCCTTGACAAAATAAATGTCACCCTTAACTTGATTCTCTATCGCAGATCTATTTGCATCAATCACTGCTAACCTCAGAGTTCAGCTTGGATGCTTTTGGGTCATTTGAGTTGCATTTCCTATTAACCTCATACTCTTTTATAATACCGACAACTGTTGTCACAGAAACAATACACTACTTGGAGATGGTCTAGTGGAGTTTACCACATAAATTCAAAACCTTCTTTTTGAGATCCTGATCTGATGAAAAACTTGAAGGCATTTCTGATACTAATTTATGTTTCAAACATGGCTATACTTACTTACCAACAAATCTCCCCATACCTCTATTTGTAAAGCAAACAAATATTTTTATTTTACCCATTTAATTAATTTACCCTGTCACATATTGAAGGTGTACAGGGAAAAATAAACAGCTTTAAATGCGCCGTTAGGGCACTAACATACTATCATACACGCTCGGATCAGAACTCGGAGGACACTGTGAGATATGCATCTTTAATCATAGCTGCACTCATTTATTCACAGCTGTGGTGTGCATACCTGGGTGGGCCTGCCGGCTGAGCTGAAGGTCTCTGAGGGCCTCTCTCAGCCGGTCTATCTGGGCGAAGCTGATCCCCCTACCAGCTAATGAAAGTCCCTTTAGTCTTTGGAGGACACACAAGTCTACACCCTGCTCAGCATCTTTATCTGCGCAGGGCATTTGTAGAGAAAAACCTGTAATGAAGCATGCAATTAAGAAGAGACTGACTAGAGATCCATTCCAAAATACTTTTTTTTTAAAAATACTCCACCTGTGTCTTTATAGTGCACCTTCACCAACAGGTTGATACACCTACAGTGCAGAAAACCATGTTGAGTGTTTATTCAGAATTCCACACAGAAACAGTCTGAGTAAAACCAGCCCAGAACCAGAACCACAGACCTTGTGTAGTGGGTTACTGCTTGCTTCCAGTCCTTCAGCTGAGAGTAGCAGTGACCCTGAAGGAGGTAGGCTGCTGCTGTCCAGAGCAGCCTTACCAACCCATTTTCTGCCTCCTCCGTCACCTCCCCGCTCCCGGCCACTCTCCTGGCCACTGGATCCTCCAACAGTACTTTTTCTGGAAGCAGATCCAGAGTCGACCCGATGACCTCGTCACAAAGCGCCATACAGTCTGCAGGCCGCCGGGCCATCAGTAAAGCTGCTCCAGCCTCAAGGTAGAGTCTGGGTAACTTGGGGAGGGTGGAGACCGCAGCGTGAACCTGAGGCCATAAACATGCAAAATAACACTTTTCAGAAATACTACTTCATTCGTGACTTCTTGGAAATGGACCGTCAACATGTTTGCTCTTACACCATGCTGATCTTCTGACTGAAGAGCAGCAAGCAGGTCCAGATAACACTCCACGCCTTCTGACACCCTAAACAAGCAGAAATATTCTAATTTCTTAACAACAAAGTTGACACGTTCTCAAATACATGATATGTGTCGGGTGAAAGGAATTCACATGGACCACCATGCTGCTTCTCTCACCTGCTGTGGATCACGCATTTGAGAGCCAGACTGTGAAGGACACTGAGTGCAGATGGGACAGAGAGCAGGCTGCTCAGTGATTGGCTGCAGAGAAATAAGGACGGTGAGAGGAGACGGTCTGCAGCCATGGCAGGTTCTGTAGTCGAGGGTAACAGCAACATCTACGGAAGAAAAGAGGTTTGTTGTTTCAGTATCCACACTTGGAACTCACTTAATATTTTTCAGTGATAAAAAGTTAGTTTTTCACTTATTTGCTCATCTAGTCAACTACAAAACACATGTACAGTGTTTGGGGAAAGACATTTGTATGCTTTGAGCATTTTCCAATTTTGTTACAATTCGTTCCACAACTTTATTAGTAGTGCATATTTAATAGGTGGAAGGAAATTCAGGACTGTTTTTCAACTTAAACATCTCAGAAGGATGGTGAAGGCTTGCGTTCAGCCCCCTTAACACTGAAACTCCTAAATAAACACCTGATTAGGATCTAGAATCAACCTGAGTGTGATTTAATGTGATTATAGACTGTTTTTCTGTAACCCAAAGTTGAACGTTTTGGCCTGAGCAGCAATGTACGACGCAAAAAAATTCTACACTGCACATCATCCTGAACATACCAGCCCCACAGAGAAACATGGTGGAGTCAGCATCATGCTGTGTGGATGTGTTCTATCAGATGGGACAGTGAAAACGGTTGGAGCTAAATTCAGATATATATAGATAATCCTGGAAGAAAACCTGTTAGAGGCTGCAACAGATAAGAAACCAGGAGAAAAATGATGTCAAACACAGTCAGATTATGGTTTAGATCAAAATTTATGCATGAACCAATCAAAAATCTAGATTTAAATTTTAGTCCCTGTCGCTATAAAAGGGTGATTTTATAAAACCTTTATATTGGTTAAAAATGAAAACATGTAATTATGCTTTCTACTTTGTGTTGAGCTATTAAACAAAATCCTAATAAAAGACATTTAGGCATCCATGTTTGTCATGGATGACAAAACATGGAACTATTTAGGGTTATTAATACTTTTGGAAGACACCCACTAATTATTACGAAAACAATTTATTTGTATCCATTAACATAAGAGACAACAAAAATCATCTTATTATTTGGACAAATATTTTTATTTTAGGTTACGCACCGAGTGCAGAATGCGAAGAGCCTGTATCTCCGCCTGCGAGTTTTCCAGCCGACTGTAGATGAGCGCGCTCTGATAGAGAGCACAAACACAGCGGGGGTCCGTCTCCAGAGCCTTTCGGTAACACTGCAGTGCCATCTGAGGGCGGTTCTAGAGACAAGTTCAAACACACACACACACACATGCAATGAAACAACCTAGCACTCTACTTTTTCTGTTATCGACGGTTTGTGTGAGCGGCCTTATGTACCATATGGGCGAGGCAGGAACCTGAGAGGAGGTGTGTGTAAGCGATGAGAGCTCTGGGAGCAGGCGAGGCAGAAGCAGCCTGCAGAGCAGAAAGCACACTCCAACCCTCCGTCAGCCTTTCTGCACC